TGGTATTTTTCATACAGATGCTACACATGAAATAAGCCTAACATAAAAATAGAGCCTTTTCCGTCCTTCTGTCCGGAAAGCAAACATCCTTCAATAAACATGCAAGGCTGACCCAGGGGACCCAGAGCTGGCCCCACACCAGGCCTGTCCCCAGGGCTAGCAGAGGCAGCCCTGGGCCTTCAGCTACCCCCAGTCATTCGGGGACAGGGGGGCACAATTTGGGCGTGATACAGAGAGTCCAGAAAGACTCAAACCTCAGCCCCCATGTCCAGAGATGAGGGTCCCAGAGCCCTTTTTTACCCGGACCCCCCCATCTCTGGCCACAGGATCTCAGGCTCAGTATTGCTCTTTCAGTCAAGTCTGACACACATTCTCCAGGGGACAAGGCCTCAGCCCAGCTCCACAGGGGCGCGTTCATGCTCTGACCCCACCACCTCCCGCAGCACTGAGGCCCAGCAGCCGCCCGCGGCTGGCCAGCTCCAGGCCCAGGACCTCATGGGGCCTGCGGTCCCCTGGGAGAGGCAGGCGCGAGGAGCCCGGGAGGGCTGGCCGACTCTGCGAGTGAGAGATTCCCGGAGCAGCCTGGTCCAGGAGACCCTAGTGGACCAGCAAGCCGAGGGCAAGGGTGGGCAGGACCCCCAGCCAGAAGGAGACGGCCAGGGTGCCAGTGTGGCCCTTCAGGTGCTCGGCTGTGGAACCCTCGCTGGGCAGCAGCTCCCAGTGCTGGGTCTCCAGGAAGTAGGAGCCCTCCTGGGCCTCGCAGAGGTAGTGGCCGTGCTGCCTGGATGTGAAGTTCTCGATGAACAGGATGCAGCTGGGGCTCGGGTGGCCGGGCTCACAGCTCTGCTCCACCGTCTTGTTGTGGCGCCACGAGTAAGTGGCATGGCGGGACTCCATGGGGCAGCTCAGGTAGTAGCGTGAGTTCCGGGCCAGAGAGACCTTCTGCACTGGGGCCTTGTCTGGGGCGAGGATGGGGAGGGGAGTTGTCAGGGCATCTGTTCTCTTCTCTGCTTTCCCTCAGCCGCCCCCTCCCAGAATCGGCTCCCACCCCAACGGGGGATCCAGGGCAAGCCCCCCCCACCCACCCACCCACTCTCCCTCCATCCCTCCAACGGGGCAGCAGGGCCCTGGGCAGGGCCAGACGCAGTACCTGGCTTTGGGTTGGGGCACTCTTTGTGTGGCTCAGTGAGGTTAACGGACTGCAGCATGGAGAACCTGCAGTCAGACAGGGACATGGAGCAGACAGGACGCTGCCGCCCGGCCCTCCCGCCCCTCCCCGCCCCACCTGAATGGCCCCCTCCCCTTCCCTTGTCTGCCTTCTCCGGGGGCCAGGGGTCTGGCTGGCATACCTCTGGGCACTGTGGATGGAAGAGCAGCCACCCTGCGACCAGCCGCAGTAGGGGTCTCGGGCCATGAGACAGCCGTGGCAGCCCCCGACGTAGAATTCACACAGGTCCAGGGGCACCTGGCTGACCTCCCACTGGGAGCTGACATACAGCTTCCACTGGAAGGAAAAGAGGACTCAGGGCCAGGCTGGGGGGGGGGGCCCTCCTCTGACACAAAGTTCTAAGTCCCAGTCCATAAGGCCCATTTGCTTGGGAGACCCTGGGGGCCCCAGGCTCCTCTGAGAATACTAAGTTACATGCCAAGGGGCCTGGCCTTCAGTTGGCCCAGCGGGGGGCAGGGGTGGGGAGGCTCACCCGCCGAGAGTCCAGGGTCAAGGCCTGGATAGCCGCAGTGCGGCGGAAGGGCTGGATTTCCATGATGTTGAAGGCCGGGCTCCGCTCCGATTCCACCACCTTGTGGATGGTGCCCCTGTCTGGGGCAGACGGCACAGGGAGGGTTAGGGTGGGGGCCCCCCAGAGCCCAGACAGCTCCCTGGAAAGGCTGCCCGGTCCAGTAAGGTCACGGGGAGAGACGCGTTGGGTGTGGGATGCCTCAGGCTCATGCGGAAGGTGACATGGGAGTGGGAAGGGCCGGCATGCCTGGGGAAGAAAGTGGGAGCCCCAGGGCAGGTGGGGGAGTCTCCAAGGCTGGACCAGGGTGGGCGGTCATCCCAGGCATCTCGGGTTCACACGGAAGCTGGAGGGTAAGAGCTGAACCAGGAGCCCCATGGACCCGGTGCACAGGGCCGGCCACAACCCTATGGGGCCGGTGCTATCGCCTGCACCTTGCAAGGAAGACAATGAGGGTCAGAAGGGCAAAGCCACTTGCTCTGGTCATGCACTGGTGACAGGCACAGGCCAAGCTGGAACCCAGACTGCGAGAAGGCCACCCGAGGCTTCTGCCAGCCCCCAGACCCAGTCACCGAGGCTTCTTCAGGGACACACCTTCTTTAAATAAGCTTTGAAGGTTTGGAATCATTTCAGATGTACAGAACGGTTGTAAAGATAGCAGGCTTCATATCCCCTCCATCCCGAGTGCCCAGTGCAAACGTCTTACATAAGCACGGCCCATTTGTCACAACCTGACACGGTGCAGACTTGACCCTGATACCACCAGCACTCCCACCAAAGCCCTGGTGGCCCCACAGGGGCACCTTTAGTCATGGGGCGGCTCCACTTGTATAAAACCGTAGCTCTCGAAGGGGCCTGACATTCCATCTGGCTAAGCTCTAGCGGGGAAGTGACCTGTCCAAGCTCATGCAGCCGGGCTACCTGCCGGCCTCCCAGGGGCTCTTCAGGAACTAATGGGCATCTTGACCCCTGGGTCTTTCTAATCTCCCTTCACACCCTCTGTCCCAGTTTCTAGAATAGCCTCTCTCCCTCCCTCCCAAGCTCCCAAGGCAACACTTGCCCCAAAAAAGCACGGTCAGATGATCACCTGGCTGGGAAGTCTCTGCTGTATCTACGGTCCCATCTGCAGGCTCGGGATGGGGCCAGATGGGTCTCCGCTGACAAGCCTCTTCCCTGCCCCAGCCCCGACCCCGGTCACACAAACACACACACACAGACAGCCCTCTGCTTCCTTCCTTCCTTCTTTCTTACACAGCCCTGATAACGCTCTCCTTGTCAAAACCCTCAGGAACTGAGCCAATAGCTTCTCCCAGTGATGAGAGAGAGAGCGAGAGACTCCCCGTTCTCCACAGAGGACTCAGAAAGTTCTATTTTTTTTATCTGACCCCAATCCTTCCTGCTGCGGGCTCCAAAATGTGTCTTCTCAAGTGGCCCTCAGGGTGACCGAAGAGAACTACCTTCTTCAAGCAGGTGCACTTCCTCCTAGCTCTGCAGGGGGGGTGCTCCCTCTGCCAAGGCCAGCCTCCCCGCCCTGTGCTTCCCACTGGCCCACAGCACACACACCCCCAGTTGATCAAAGCAGCTAGGCCTGCCATCCTGGGGGCGAGGTGGGGTCTCTGGACCAGGGGCCCAGGCTCTGCTCCGTGGGAAAAGCCTCTCCCCCAGGCTTCCAGGAGCCAAATTAGGGTGGGGAGGCTCTGGCTGCTAGGGTGACCACCAAGGCCAAGCAGAAGGAAGTCCCACGGAAGAGCCCCAACAATGGAGGCCATGCACTTGTGGGCCCAGAGTCCCTGAGCTCCCAGAAGAGTCTCTGCACTTCTGGAGGGTCCCGACTGAAGGAGGACCTCTAGGCCCTGCAGCACGGGTGTCCAACACCCACTCCTGAGCTCCCCTTGGGCCGCCCCTGGAGCTGGAAGCCTATGGCGTGGTGGTTACACACTGGGCTGCTAACTGCAAGGTCAGCAGTTCCAAATCACCAACCGCTCCTAGGGAGAACGATGGGGCTTTCTACTCCCATAAAGAGCTACCATCTCAGAAACCCACAGGGGCAGTTCTACCCTGTCCTATGGGGTCGCTGTGAGTCGGCATCGACTCGAATGAATGCAGTGAGTTTGGTTTGGCTTTGGGGGACCAGGAAGCGGCTGCACACCAGCTCAATGTGGTTCTGGACCACAGGACTACCTCCTGGGTATTGCACCCTCAAGACCCCGGCTCCCCAAGAAAAGAATCTTCCAAATGGTAAAATAAATAAATAAATAAATAAAAATAAAAAGGAAAAAAAAAAAAATGGAGAGAAAATGTTTTGAGAAATGATGTACAAATACGCGTTACACAATTGATGTGTGTATGGATTAGGATAACAGTTGTATGAGCCCCTAATAAAATGTTTAAAAATAAAAAATAAAAATAAAAAAAAAAGAAAAGAATCTTCCTGGAAGCACACCCCGGCCCTCTGCAAAGACTGCTTTCTGGAAGTCCCTCCTCAGGCCACTAAGGCAAAGGCTTCCTTCTGTCACCTGCCTGATTCCAAAGAGGGCCTGAATTCCTCTCTTCCCAGCACAGGCCTGTGGGGCGACTGGTGAGGCTCCTTGCCTCTACCTGTCCACAGTTCTTCCTCCTGACATCCGGGCTAAGCTGCAGCACCAGGCTCCGCTTAGACTGGCCGCCCGTCTGCCTCTGCCTCCTGGGCCAGCTCCTCTCCCATCCTAGAATGCCTTCCCCTTTGACCTCTGCCCCCACCTCCTGCAGGAAGCCCTTCCTGCCTGGCTCACCCAGGCATCCACACTCAGCCCTGACAGCTCCTCATCACCCAAGTCTTCCCTCCTGCATGAGGCTCCTGCATTCTGGGCGTGGCGGGGGGCAGCGCCTCACCTGTGGTCAGGTAGAGCACTCGGAAGGTCTCCCCGTGGCTGGCCTGCATGCGGTGCACGACCACTTTCTGGTAGTGGTACTTGGAGTGGAACAGTGGCATCTTCTGGGGGCTCATGGGCTCTACTCGCTGCGCCACCTCAGGGTGGCTGTCAGCCACCTGGAAGGTCTCCGTGGGGATCGGCTGGTGGTCTGGGAGGCACTGAGCAAGGAGAGGGGTCAGGTCAGTGGGAGGTGGAGGGAGGGGGGTGCAGGCCTGGGACCTGGGCACAGCGGTCCCCGGCTCACCTTGCCCGGCCGAGGGTTTGGAAGGTTCAGGTGGTAGTCCTTGAGCGCGGAGGTGCGGAAGACTCTGTCGATGTCACCCAGCGAATACACACAGACGGCCGAGTAGTTCCTGGGAGACACAGAGACCGCCTCAGGGCAGGGCCCCCGCGCCAGTCATCTCCGCTCACCCAGGCTAGCCTGGCGCCAGGCCAAGCCCAGCCTCGGCCTCCAGCCAAGCTCCAGGCTCACCAGCCCCACGAGAAAAGAAGTACCTGCAGGGCCTGTGCCAGGCAGAGAGCAGGTGCCCAAGAAACGCCCAAGAAGGATAAGCAAAGAGGGAGGGAGGGGGGAAGAGACTGCCTGCCGGCAACGCAACCTCATTTCTTTCTGCTGGCATCTAAAACTGCAGCCTGGCATGCTGGCCCAGGGTCACCGAGTTCAGAGGCCGCCTAGGGCACCCCTGCCGGGTGAGTCTCCAACCTCCGGACCCCCAGCCCCTCTCAGCCTCATAGGTTCACTCACACAGGACCCACCCAGCTGGTGGTTTCCCTACCGGGTGGCCCACCTCCTCCCCACACACCCAACACATCTGCCTGCCTTGTTTCCAATCAATGAGAGTGATTAAGAAGTGTGAAGTACCAGGCGCGGCAGCCATGCCTGAGCAGGTGTGATCACACCTAGCACCCAGCGGCCTCCACCGCTCTGAGCACACACGGGTGGCGGGACTCTCGGACACAGCTGCGCACCCCTGTTGTACAGACCCACAGCACAACCTCACACACTCGCTGCGCACCGGCCCCAGTCTGCATTGAATCCCCAGAACCACGATCCGCCCTGGGCCCCGGGCCCCCGTGTTCCCGGCCACGCCACACCAGCTCCTCTCAGCAGGGTCCCAACGGGACACATAACAGGTGCAGGGAAGAGGACCACTCACCAGGGGTTGGAGAAGACGCCGTAGACCCTGGTGTCCGCCCACCGGCCACTGGGGTCGGGGAGCAGGAAAACATCCTGCAGCCTGTTGAAGTTCTTGTTGCTGGAGGCGTCACTGCAGACCAGCATGGCCTTCAGGAACGTGTTCCACTTGGAGACAGACAGGGAGCTCTCACCGCCCTGGTCCCCCTGGGAAGGAAGAGGGGTCCCTCAGCACTTCCTGGGCTGCCCAAGACCCGAGGCACCTGCTGCCAGCACCCCGGGTATAGAGAGGGCAGAGCCACAGTGGTGCTGGGACCTACGGGCCTGCCTGACCCGGGGCTCAGGCCCAGTGATGGTGACTCTGCAGGGGAGGGCACTAGTCCCTGCCAAGTGGGTGCAGGTCCTCTCACGCAGGTGACCCGGAATGGCACATTCCAGCACATCCCACTAGCGAAGTGCACACACATGCAAATACCCTGTGGTAGTTACATAATCTGTTGTCAATTTGAGACTTAAGAGTGAAGGGGTGGAGTCTAGCCTGTCAATCAGATCACAGTTTGATGACCTCATTTGGAGGTGCTAAGGAGATAAATAGCTGCCTGTAAGATACATACTCACTCCCTGTGATACATTCCTGCAGACAAGACACATGGAGCTACGCTAGAGTCCTGGAACAGAAGAAACCTCGTGGAGACCCCTGCAAGTGCTGAGATGCTTCTACCGCCACTGGATCCACAAGACTTTCCACCCACTGGTCTGTAATCTTTCCGTATTCGGCGTCATTGCATGAGTTTCGTCAGTCTGAAGAGGACTTTACAGATTGGTATCGGACATATGGGCTAATATCAGACTTATGGACTTGATCTGGACTGGGCTGGGAGGTTTCACTTGCTCTTGTATATAAAGCTCATTCCAAAAAACAAAAAAAAAGCTCATTCCTATACACATCCGAACATCTCCAGATTTGTCTCTCTAGTCAGCCCAGATCGACGCATACCCCTTCACACGCTTGCATCCTGCTGCACACACCACCACACCAGCACACAGACCTGACCAGACGCACACACGTGTACGCCCACTGGCCCCACACGTGCACATCTGCAGCTGCTCCTACACATGCAGTGGCGCCCTCCCTCCCCCCGTCTCGCACCGATGCGCCCATCTGCCCGCACATGGGGCACCCCCCCAGCACACCCCCTCCGCCCCCCCCACAGACCTTACACAGCTGGGCCACTCGGGACACGTTGAGCGGGGCCTCGGGGTTCTTGTCAGGATTGTCCTCCCGGAAGAAGTAGTAGATCTTGTCATTGTAGGCCTGGTCCTGGTGGACGATGGTGGCCTTGATGAACTGCGGGTCTGCCAGAGTCACCGGAAGGTGGGGGTGAGGCTGGGAGGACCCCACACTGCATGCACCCAAGCAAATCAAACTCAGGGCCTCAGGCCCCACGACCCAGGGGCCACCCTCCGCCCCACGCCTGTCTGTCCTCCTCTCCCCACAAAGATGTCACCGGCCAGGGAGCAATGACTTCATGGCTAGGGACTTGGAGGAGGCCCCTGGTGGCCCCTATGTCACATCTGCCTAATTGGCGGTGCCCTAATGAGGAGGGCGGGGCAGGGCTGCCTGCATGAGCTCAGCATTGGGACGGACTTCAGCTCCAGGGACCCTGCGCTGGTCCGGGGCTCCCTCTGTTTGTTCCTTCTGCTTCTGCTGTTCTGCTCCCCTGCCAACCTGATGCCAGGGGTCAGGCCCGCACGGGCTCTCCCTCACACTCCCGGCTGCCCTCCCGGGGAGAGCGGGGCATGGCCCCCCACAGCCCAGCCAGCCCCTCACTCTGCATGACGGTGTCGCTGGTGTACAGCTCGTTCTCGCCCTCGATGCGGCGGAACCGGGGGATCTTGCCGTTGTATTCCTGCTTCCGGATGGTGGAGTAGACCTCCTTCCCTGTGTGCAGCGAGAGGGGTCGGCTGAGGGGGCCGCTCCGGGAAGCCCCACTCCCCGACCTGCGCCCCAGATGTAGCCCTACCGTCAAATAGGACCAAGGAGCTCTCTTCCGGGCTGAAGGGCGCATAGCCCCTCTTCTCGCCAAGGGGCTCCACACTGTCATTCACCTGTCATTCACCAGGTGCAGGGGTTAGCCAGGGTCCCTACAGCGGGGAGGCGGGGGCGGGGGGGGGCAGTCCAGAGTGACCCCCACCTCCTTCCCACCAGGGCGTGTGTGTGCACGGGTGTACACGTCGGAGGGAATCCCGGGGAAGGGCGGTCTCACCAGGCGCCAGCAGCTGGGGCGCCGAGCGTTGGTGCCGCAGACCAGCAGGCCATGGGCCTGCCTCTCCAGGAGGGTGATGTAGTTCTCACAGTCCTGCCGGGAGGGGGGAGTGAGTCGGCTGAAGGCTTTGACAGGCCCAGCTCCAGGGCACGGGCTCGGGAGGGTGCCGGAAGGAGACTCCGAGGAGCTGAAGCACAGGTAGCAGCTTCCAGGGGAGGCCAGACGAAGTACAGCTGGTTACAGCCCCCCAAGAACAGAGAGGGGGACACAGACACCTCCAGAGAAAAACCAGGTGTCTCCTCTCGGACCAGGCCCTGCCTCCCCCTTTAGTTTGCGTCTCCTCCCCCTTTCCCAAGGGTCTGCCTCCCCACCACCACCCCTCCCCCACTCACCTGCTTGCCCTGACAAGCGCCCTTGGTGGGGTCTATGTTCACCTGGGGAAGAGGAGGCATTAGTCCACTCTGCCAAGGGCCAGAGGCCCACCCTCGTGCTTCTCAAGAACACCCAGGACAAGCCCCCAACAGCCTCACGGTACAGCTGAAAGCTCAGGGCTCTGAGGGCAGACTGGCGTCAACACCCCACATCATGCAGCCCCTCAGTCCGACAGCCAATCTCCAGGTCTCAGAAGACTAGGGTCCGAGGGTGGTGGGACCGGCTTCCTACCTGAGCTCCCCCATCAGGGCTGCCTACCTCCATCCACCCCTGGCCAGCCCTCCAATCTGGAGGTCTTGGGGATCCCCTCCCAAGGGTTCATGGGACAAGGAGGGAGTGAACAGGTTCAAGAAGAGATGCCAACGCCCCCTCCCGACCCCCCCGGGCGTCTCTAGCCCAGCAGAGGGGGCTCACCATGCGCCGGGAGGCATTCTTGCCTTCGTTGAAATCAAGGATGTACACCTTGCCTCGGCCACCCACCCACACGGAGGAGCTGCCCGGCTCATGGAAGAGCACCGTGTGTGGCTCCAGCTGGCCAAAGTCCACTCGGTCCTGGCCTCCTCGGCCTGTATGGGCGGCAAGCAGAGAAGCAGTGAGGCGGGAGGGAGAGGTCCTGGAGCCCCCAGGCACAGCAGCCAACCCACCCCCACCAGCCGATGCTTGGAGTTCAGGGCGCTGGGCGGGCCTCAGAGAAGGGGCCAGGCTGCTGGGGCATCAGGATTCAGAAGTAGTCCCATAAGGGACCCTGGTGTGGCCCCATAGTGAGCTGCCCTCACCCCAGAGGCATGGGCCCCAGGATGTGACTGCACCGGTGACCAGAATTGGGGCAGGATTAGGGCCTTGGAGGAGACCAGGGGCCCCGGGGCGGTGCCCAGCAGATTCAGTGCGGACTAACGAATGGCCCAGGTTCAAATCCACCGAGAGGCTTGCAGAGCTACTTCGGAGAGACCAGCCTCTGGTGAGATACCCTGGTGGAAGGCAGGGCTTCCCTGACACACGGGGGCTCCAATAATCAGAGTGGACTTGGTGGCCACAGGTGGGGAGAACAGACCCTCCCTCTGTTGCTCCTGAGGGGCTGGGCTCTGGCAGGAGAGGCCCGTCAGCTCTGCCGGGGGGTCTCAGCTGCCCCAGGACAGGCAGCCACTGCTGCAGCGGTGGGGGTGGGTGGGGGTGGGGGGACTGCACTCTGAGCACCCACCTTATGAAGCCCAGGCTCCTGACACTGATTTTGCCTGGCAACCAGTCCCCTCCTGCAGGAAGCCACCCCCTTGGCCCCTCCAAGCTGACCCCTCAACTTTGAGTGACCACGGATTCAGAGTTTGGGACGGAATGCCCTCTCCCACAGCGCCCCCCCCTCGCCCCTGCCATTTCACAGCTGGAAACGCAGAGCTCAGGAGAGGGCCAGCGGCCAGCCCAGGGCCACCTAAAACCAGAGCCTGTTCTCTCCGCCCGACCCAGGGAGGAAGATCCACTGGACGGACACTGCCTCCCAGCAGCCCTGGGGCACAGGCCTGTCACAGAGCACAGCCTGGACCGTTCAGCAGAAAGGTTGACTGGGACAATCTTGCCCCCAAAGGAAACTGGCTGCGGCCAGTTGTCCTGGCCACAGGACTCAATTACAGGGAAGGGGTGGCCTGTGGCTGTACCCTCAGCAATCAGCCGGGGACCAGCCCCCTCCCCCCTCTGGCCAGCCTGGGGCCGCATCCCGGAACTCAGCTGACCGCAGGGTTTGCAGCTGCAGCGAGCTCTGGGATGGCCGGCTCCTGTGCGGACACTCTCCACAGGCCAGGCAGAAAAGGACGCGCCACTCTTCGCTTCCTCGAGCCTGCCCCAATCGCTCTTACTGCCGCTTGACACCATCCCTAAGGGCCTGGCATTCAACAGGGGGTAAGGGGCAGCTAGCCTGCACCTGGGGGCCACACCTCCGCTCCTTTCCCCATGCAACAGACAGCAGACACCCTGAGAAGCAGAAGATTGATATTTTCATCTGTCACCTGGGTGCAGGTGGCTCAGGGTACAAAGGAGGAAACTGAGCCCTCTGCCCATTCCATCACCCCCAACCTAGGGGTGTGTGTGTGTGCAGTATTCAGCCAAGGTCACATTGGGAGGCAGGGAACGTCACGGGCCTATCCCGATATCCCGACGGGGTATCAGTTCTCAGGCCAGCACTTTGCGGAGGAGAGACATGCTGAGCTCACTGGCTGGCCTGGAGCTCTGGGGGGCTCTGAGTAGCCCCAGCTCTACCCTTTCCAACCCAGGTGGTCCCAGCTCAGTGCTGGAAATGCTAGCCTGCTCAGAATGCAGGCCCTAGCCACCACCCTGCCCTCCCTTCCCAGAGGGGGGCAAAGGAGAGAGTGCTGGGGTCAGCGGTCCAGTCCACAGCCCCCGCTCTCCTGACTCAGCTCCCAAGGCTCCCCCCTCCCCTAGCCTGGGATGCAGACAGTCTGCGGTCATTCCCCTCCCTCCCCACACACCAGCTCAGCCCGCCAGGAAGAAATGCCCGAGAGACAAGTGGGAGGGGGGCCTCAGATTCACAGGTCAACGTGGGTGCAAGGCCGTCAGAGGGAGGAGGCTCCACCTGGGGAGCCAGTCTGAATGAGGAGGCCTGTCCTGGCCTGGGAGACAGACAGCAAAGTCCTGAGAGGACACCTGGTCCTGGCATCCAGTCTGTGAGGACAGCCAAATGGTCTTGGGACCACGCCCCACAGGTCTGCACACAAAGGGAGGGGCCGGGGGAGCGCCGCATACATCCACAACCTGAGCCTGAGCCCGGGTTGCCCCTCAATCCCGGCTGCGACCTCGGGGTGGGGTGGGGGTGACGGGTGACAGGAACTGCTGGCTCCATTTTGCAGAAGAGCAAACAAGAGCCCAGGATTGGACTTCGCCTCCTGTGACCCCAGCTCGCCTCCTCCCTCCGGGTCTGATGATGGGGAGCAGTGGGGGGGAGGGGGGAGGCAGGGAGACGGCACCAGCTCAGCCCAGGACAAGGTCTTGGCCCACTGTCCACCCCAGCCCTGCTTGCTTCCCGCACTGCCCGAGGCCCTCAAAAGGCCCGATTATGCCCAGAAAGTGTCGGGCAGCAGCCTGATGAATACATGAAAGGTTGCTTTGTTCCTGCAGGTCCTTGGAGCGGGGCTGGGGGTGCGGGAGAAGGAGGGCTGCCTGGAAGTGAAGGCAGTACCAGGCCATCCAGCCCAGATCCAGCTCACTCAGACCTGCATGCACCCGGAAGGGGGGGGGGCCTCCGGGGGCTGGGGGGGGGGGGGCGCGGACACAGAGGTGAGGATAGATAACCTTCGAGGCAGTCCAGGCCCGGGGCCACCCCCAGGCAAGAGAGGGAGTGTCACATCTCAGGGCTGCAGCAGAAGCAGCCGGGGCTGGGAAGGACAGAGGATAAAAGTTAGATGGCCAGGAGCAAGGAGGGAGAGGATGCCAGGCGGGCACGGCCTGAGCAGAGGCGGGGCACACAGGGCAGAGGCTGCCGCTGCAGGTCAGGATGCGGAAAGATGGGCTAAGGTTCCCCCCACCTCCCGGTGGTGGCCAGGCTCTGTGCTGCCTGCCCCCTCCAGCCTGGCTGGGGTTGGAACCGGACCAGCTACCCCTTCTCCGGTGTCCCCCCCACCCCCACCCCGCCCCGCCCCTGCCTGCCTGACCAGCTTCCCATGCTTCGTGTCTAAAAGGAGCACCGTCTGGCACCGGGTCTCCCCCCTCACTCCCCGGCCTGACGCATTAGTGGCTGACTAAGTGGTAGCTAAAAGCTCCCAGAATAACCAGGGGTTCAGGCAGAGGTGGGGGCTAGAGGTGCACAAGGCCCCAGCGGTGGGCCAGGGCCAGGTCAACCTATCGCCACCTCTGTGTGAGCTAGAGCCAATCCCACCCTTTCTGGACCAAGAGAGACCCTGGCTCCCCATCCTCCTCCCAGCGCAGGACCTGCCAGGGCTGGCTGGTTGTGGACGGCAGTTTCCCCAGACACAGCCCCAGCGGAGGTGTCTGTGGGTTCTGGGCCTGCTAGGAAGAGGCAGGCCAGATTCCCCTCCTGGCCCTCGGCGGCCCCCACATTGTCCCACCAGCCAACTGACCGGGCCAGTCTGGACTTCGGTAAGGGACGCGTTTCTAAAGCAGGCCTGCTGGTGATGTCAGCCCTCCCCTGGCTCCCTCTGGACACCGCCCCTGCTGCCCAGCAGCCCCAGTCACCTTGAAAGAGGAGGGTCCTCAAAGTTCAGGGCTGGAATGGGGGAGCGCACCATTGCTTGCAAGGCAGCACAAGGGCTGGGCCCTGGGCCTGGCCTTCCACCCTGGCCCACTGACCTAGGGCCCAATGAGTGCTGCCCTCTAGGAGCCCTTTGAGAGTGGGCGTCGGGGATTTGGGATGGGAAGAATGTGGGCATCCTACCAGGGAATGCTTGATTCAGGCAGCTAGGAGGATGCAGGCAAGGGGCCACATTCATCAGCCTTAGGCTGGGGCACAAACATGTGTGGGGCACACCCCTGCAGCTCAGCCCCACCCACCTCACACAAACACTTGCCCCACCACATGCCTGGCTGGGTCTCGCAAAGGGGAGAGGCCCTCGTGGGGCCCAGATTTCTCCCATGGCTTTCACACCCACGGGTCAAGGTGGAAGGAAGCAGCTCTGTGGACAGAGAGGCCAGGCCACTGGCCCAAGAAAGGCAGGCACAGGGCCAGGCCAGGACCCAGGATCTCCGGTACCCATCGCCTGACCCCATCCTTCCAAGGCCCCCCTGGCATCCTAGACTTCCCAATTGCCCTCTAGTTAGATGACGAGCTGCAGGCCCCCACCTTCCTACCCCTGGCTGACCTTTCCCTAGGGCACAAATCTGATACCCGAGGGGTCTCACTCCCCCATCCACTTTCCAGCTGCAGCCCCTAAACTCCTTGGGCCTTGAAAGGGTGTGTTAGGGTGGGGAGGGAGGCCTTTCTGAGGGAAGAGGTGAGGGAGGGCAAAGGAAGAAATGTTTGATCGATTCTGTCTCTCGGTGTGGCCAGGGGGCAGGGAATGAGAAGTCACTCCTCCTACCAGAGCGGCCAGTGTGGCTCCGGCCAGCGCTAAGATGGGCTCTGACTGTGGGCTGCGATCCTGGCGACTCAGCAGGGCTGGGCTCCAGCCAGCAGCCTGGCACGAGCAGGGCTTGTGTGCTGGGCAGGTGGCCGGGCACCAGGCTCTTGGAGGTCGGAGAGGGCTGCCCCGAATAATGAGCCATGGGTACAGCCCACGGGGCTGGAGTGGGATACCCTCCCACCCACCAAGGGCGGTCGTGGGCGGGAAGGCAGCCGCCTCCCGTTCTTTCTGGCGGCCAGGTGGCTGCCCGGCTGTGTCCAGGAACATGCTGGGCCCTGTGGAGTTGCGTTTCCTCCTCTGTGGACCTGGGGTGGGGGCGGGGGCAAGGGCCATGATGCTCAGAACAAACCAGGATTGAGTTTGTGGGCTGGATGGTTGTGTGCCCCAGGGATGTCAGAGGAGGGTGGAGTGGAGGCAGCGCCACCCTCCTCTGTCCCCACTCACTAGCCACCAACCCCCAAAGACCAGACCAAAACAAACTCACTGCCATGGGGTCAATGCCGGCTCCGAGCGACCCTGAGGGCAGGGTAGAACTGTCCCTGTGGGTTTTCAAGACCGGCGCTCTTTACGGGCGTAGAAAGCCCCGTCTCTCTCCCGAGGAGCGGCTGGTGCTTTTGAACTGCTAACCTTGCGGCTAGCAGCCCAAACACATAACCACTGCATCACTGAGGCCCTGCCAAGCCACTAAGAACAGGGTGCTCTCAGCAGTGGGTTGCCACGTTTGTCTGAAGGCACAGAGGCTTGGCTGCATGAGACTGGCTGGGGCAAAGCTTGAGAGAAGGGGCAGGGTGAGGAGCAGGCCCTGGGGGACCGGGAGGAGGCCCGGGAAGGCAGGAAGCAAAGCACGAAACACCATCACGTCTTGTCCACCTTCTGCCCCTTCTCCAACCCAGCAGCTCCCTCAGGAAGCCAGGGTGGGCTGGCGGAGAAGAGCAGGGGGAGGGGCTGCAATGAACTAAGGCCAGGAAACCAAATGTGCATCCACTGTGGCGTGCGGAACGGGGGCGCTCTGTGAACTTGCTCCCAGATCACCGCAAAATGTTCAACATGGAGGAGAGGAGGAGCAGGGTGACAGGGCCCGCCCTGGGCGGGGGCCAGAGGATGGCTGGACCACCCCCAGCGGAGGGCGGGAGACAGAACTGGAGGACTGTCAGGAAACAGAAGGTATTCGTCTCATCCTGCTGGCCCAGGGCAGGGGCAAGGGCAAGGGCAGCCGGCCAGCACCCCCGACGGGCAGGGGCAGGCCATCAAGGCTACATTCTTAGAGCATCAGAGATGCTGGTGCGGGAGGATGGACCACAACTCCCTAAAATTCCACAGCACACACGCACTGGGAGGCTTTCAGCATGGCTTCTTAGAGCTCCTGACTCGGTGGCTCCTCTCCCTGAAGCCTCTGGCCGTGGGCTCTCCGGGGCGCTCCCTTTGACAGCGGCCGGCAGCAGGCCCGCACATTGCGCCCCGTGGTCCTGGGTAAGTGGTGGGTGGGATGGCGGCTTGAAGGCAGCATCTGAACGGACAGCCGTACATCCCACAGATGGACCCTTAGAAGCTTCCAGGCCAGCTCCCTCCCATAAGGTGAGGAAACGTAGGTCCAGAGAGCACTGGGGCCCAGTCAGAGGCCACTAGGACCAACCAGGGGCCGCCCTCTGCCCTGCTGCCCTGGGAGATTGCAGGCCAGGTGGGCAGGGCCTGGGGATGCAGGGGGCTGGGGGGGTGCCTGAGTACTGAACTGAGCTGGGAAGATAAGAATCCCAAGATCCCTGCCCCTAAGAACACTCCCCCGCCTGGGGCCGACCACAGGGAAGGGCTGGGTGTGCCCAGGAGCCCTTCTGGACTGACCACCCAGCCTGCCTCCCGAGAGTAAGGCCTGCCCGGGCAGGGGAGCAAGACCCAGCTCCTCAACCTGGCCACTGGGGACCACTCACACTGTTCCTCCCAGGGCTCGCCCCCACCTCTCCTTCGCCCAGGCTGCTCTTTCTCTGTCTCTCTGTGCACGTGGGCCTTACCTGTCCTTTAAGATCTAGCCAGAAACCCCTGCTTCAGGACCTCTCTGCCCTCCCTTGGACCCGTGCCCACGCGCCACAGGCCACCCATCTTCTCCCAGATCAGACTGGCTGGTGGGATCTCCCCAGGGGCCCTGGGGAGGGGGTCAGGCCTCCTCTCACCCCAAGGTGGAGCCAGTGGGGTCTGCTCAGCTGGGAGGGGTGGGGAGCAGCCCCACACCAGCGTGGACATCTCAGAGTGGGCTCCTGGGCGGCCATGGGCGGGCACAGGGTTCACCCTGGGGGCCTGCCTGCCTTCTTCCCGAGGCCGGGTCAGAACCTGGCCCAGGAGATGGCAGGAAGAGAGCAGGCCTCCTGGCCGCTCAGCCCACACCCCTGGCTCTAGCCGGTTCCTCTCCTGCCCCAAGGTCACTTCACACGGTCTTCCCTGTTCTCACTCCTGATAAGGCCAGCCCGCAGGTCCCCCTTCATTCCTCCCCAGGTGCCCACCCTTCCTACACTCTAGGTAGGCGGTCTCCTCCCGGCTCCCAAGTTCTCCCCAAGGGCAAACCCAGGTCTTCTCCGGACCCCACAGAGAAGAGGTGGTGGCTCTGGTGCCCTCCCTTTTGGGGGGTGCCCAGGGGATGGGGGACTGGCACAGAGCCCGGCTCCTCCTTGCAAGCTGGGGGTGGGGCGTGGGGGCGGGGGAGCCCAGCAGGATCGGTCTAATCCCAGGCGGCTGTGATGGTTAAACCCAGATTAGCCTGTCCTCCAGACCTGCCCAACTGCCCCAAGCAAAGGACCTGATGAGATGCAATGGTCAAGCCTGCTCAGGTGAAAGGTGCAGTCAGGGCGACTCCTGGAGCAAACAGGATGAGCCGGGCTCAGGGAGCCCCCAGGCTGGGCCAGGGCCGGGAGAGGGAGGCAGACAGCTTGGGGAGGCTCGGGGCGGAAGACACAGCCCTGGTCAAGCTCTGCCTGCCTCACTGGGTGACCTCGGGTGGTCTGCTCAATGTGTGGTTGACCCAGATGATCTGTGCCCTTTGGGTACGTGTGACGTGCTCAGCCCTGCACCCACCCAGCGTGTGAGCTGTTACATCATCCACGAAAGTTCGTGGGAGGAAGTGCGATAAGTCTGGCCTACGGAACTGATGGGCCTCCACGCAACAGAAAGGAGAAAGAGGAGGCTGTGGGTACAGGGAGGGAGGGCCAGACAGGCAACGGCTCTGAGCAGGGACGTGGGAGGAACTGGCATGACCTGAGGGTGAGGAGGTGGGGGGTGGGCCAGGCGCTGGGCAAGCGGCAGCTCTGTCCACTGTGGGTTTGGGATAGAATGGGCAGCACAGGCACGTGGAGGGCAGAAGGACTTCTGGGAGAGCCCTGGGCCCAGGCGGAGGGAGGAACAGCATGAGTGCCGGGCTGGCTGGAGGGGTCTCTGCAGCCTGGACTGGAGGGGAATGAGGAAGCCCCTGCTCTCCAGGCCTCACTCGCCTGGCTCCTACTCCCTCTGCCGCCCTCCAGCCTGCCCAGCTCTCTGAGGAAGCACACGCCTGGGGCCAGACCACCTTGCAAGGGTCAAGGAGGGAGACTGGCCCCAGTGAAACCCAGGCCTTTTTGAAAACAGGGCAGGAGAAGAGAGTCCCTTTCTTCCCCTTACCAGAAAACGCAAATCAAGATCAAAAGAAATGCCCCTGCTCAGAGCTGCTGGCCAGAGCAGAGGAAGTGTGCTCAGACTCTTGTGACACAGCGGCTGTCCTGCAATAAGTGAAAAGAGGGCGTGGGGGCTGGGGGCAGGGTGTCCACTGGAAGCCACTGGGGTCAGTTTGAGGGCCCCCCACTCCAGATACCACCTCTATAGGTCACTGGACTCGCCCCCAGAACCCCAGGAGCCCTGCGAAGCCTGGCCCTCAGCTCTGGTCAGCTCTCCTTGCTTCTCCCAAGTGCCAGCCTGCCAGTCAGTGGGCCAAGGTTTCTGGAAGGGGGAGCTAATAGGGAAGGACAGCTGCCCAGGCCCCCGCATGGGGAGCCTCACAGCGGAAGGGCAGGAGGAGACAGAAGTGAGGGTAAGGGCCTCCTACCTGCAGAAGGCCCGCTGTCATTCCCCAGCCCCCCTACAATCATCCTCACAAGTCCCCATCTCTCACAACAGGTCATCTGAACCATCACACACACACACACACACACACACACACACACACACCAGTGTAATGCTCAGCTGTGTCTGGCTCCTGAGGTGTCCAGGGGAGCTCAGGGCTCTCTTTCTCTGTCCCTGGAAGGTGACCAGATGCAGGCCAGGACACCTGGGAGGGTCCGGGGATCGAAGACCCCAAGAGGCTGCAGCTTCCCCCCTCAGCCAGAAATCTTCCCGGAGCCCTCAAGCCCAGACTGACTCAACACCCAGCTTAGGGTGGCCCTCAGGACTCCCCTCTTCTCTGTCCCTGGTTCCAAGGAGGGGTGTGTGGCCCCGGGAATGCCAGGGGTTCCTCCTCCCCCTGCCCCTCTCCGCTCCCAGGGGCTCCAATGCTTCCTGTGAGCTCAGCTTGTCACCGCTTCCGCTTCCATGAAGCCCTCCCTGACTTGGCAGACTGGAGAGCTACCTCCCAGGGCCCACCCTCCCGCCCCCCAGATGCCCTGTGACTGCCTCAGACATCCCATTGTCTGGATCTGTCTACCCCTGTCCCCGGTCCACAGGAAGACGGCTGTACCTGTGCCTCCGCACCGAGCCCTGAGCCAACCCAAGATTGGCTCCAGGAAGTGTCTGAGGAGTGATGATGTCCCCTTTGAGGCCGAAAGCTACCCTCAGGGCTGCTGCCCAAGGAGAAAGAAGGGAAGTCAGTCGAAGAAGATGGAACACAAGGATGTTCCCAGAGCTCCCCACTGGCCACTTCCCTGCTAAGGTCAAACGGGTCACACAACCTCTACCCATCCCTTTCCATACTCCACAGGGCAGGAAAGTCCAGGTAGCCCCTCCCCATCCTTCTCTGGGCATTTAGGGAACCGGAGACTGAGGAAGGAAACAAAACAAAAGCACCTACTGCCAGATGGAGTTGAACACCTGACCTCACAGTTAGCAGCCCAATCTGTAACCCCTTCCCCTAGCAGGGCTCCTCCTGCGTCAGGAAGGCAAGGACTAGCCCAACGCCTACAGTAAACCAGGCCAGAGCTGGGACCAGGACCCAGACCACCAAGCTTCCTGCCCTTCCACCCACCCACCCTCAACACACACACCTGGGTCACCCTTAGGCCATCCCCGTACCCTCCCCGCCCCACCCCACCAGCACCTGCTCTCAGGATTTTCCTGCCAGGGCTGAGGACCCACAAGCTCTTTGAGAACCTCCTGGTGACGTCATC